GTTTGTTGATTTCTAATTTCTTCTATGGTTCTCTCCTGGGGTTGTTGTTGTAGACTGTCGTCTTCTTGGCTGTTGTTGTTGCTGTTGTTAAGGGTTTCTGACCGATCTGTCTCCATTGTTTCGTAGTATTCTTCATTGTAATATTCCAGGTTTGTGATTCTTTCGTCGATTTCTGCAATCTTGCCATGGATCTCGCCTAATTGTTGTTGAATTTGTTGTAGTACTTTTGTGATTTCGTTGAGTGTTGAGTTTGAATTGATGGTTCTTTGGTTTTTAACTGCATCTGCGAATGACCCGTGTATTATATTGTTGGTTGATTTAGGGTTGTTCATGTTGCGAATTTTGGTTGTTTTTGCTGGTTTGAATTTGTTGTATAGTGGTCCGAATTTGGTTGCTTGCTCTTCGTAGTAGTTATTCCACTGTTGTCTTCTGAGTTTAGAGGGACAGTCTTTGGCTAAGTGTGTATCCAGATTACAGATGGCACATAATTTAGCACCGATTGGTGTGAAGTAGATTTCTGTTTCTCCTAGGATGTATTGGTTCTGTACTGCTTCTAGAAGATCTTCTTTTTTGGCGAAGCTAATAACTGCAAATCTCTTCCGTTTGTATGCTAGACCCGATGTTCTGGGTATGTAACATGTGAGCCCTTTGCTTTGTGTAAGGATGTTTCTCAGGTCCCATGCTGTTGTGTTGGGTGGTAGGTTTACTAATTTGGCTGCAATTTCATGTCTCTCCTTCATTTGTGGTAGAGTCCATGTTGCGTCATTGATTCTAGCTGAGTCTCCCTTGATCAGTGTACTTCTTTGTTCCACTAGCTTGTTTTTGGTTGATGTGTTTTCAAAAGTGATGGTGGCGCTTTGCCATAGGTTTTGGGTTTTCATTGTAATTCCGGTGATTGCTCCATATTTGGCAAAAGCTTGTTTGACTTCTATGATTTTTGTGTTCAAGGGGATGTCCCAGACTACAATAGATTTGTCTTTTTCGATCTGTTGGTATGCCGATTGCATGTGTTGGAGGGACTTGTTGTCTGTATTTGGTAATTTGATAGTGGTTGCTTGTTCGGCTGCCTGCTGGTCACCAAAAATAGCTACGATCTGTGTTTCTTCATTTTTTCCTTCGCTGCGGACTGAGAGTAATCCTTCGGGGGAGTTAAGTGCAAGGATGACTTGTTCAATTTTTTGGTGTGTTGTCTTCCCTGGGAGTTCATCTGCTGCGATTCCTATCTTGTGTCTTTCTTTGCCGTATCTGACCACTTTGTCGAAGGGAGAAAAAGGTCTTGGTTTGTTTGTTTCCCTGGGCGTTTCTTGTCTACCTTTCCCTTTCAGCATGGTGAACCATGGTTGGTCTTGTTCTGTTTCACTCTCGCTGTTTATTTCCATGTCTGTGTCGTCGATTCTAATGGTTCTATTTTCTTTTTCAAGGTGTCTTCCCTGTTCTTGGGGGTTGGTATTGTCTTTGTTGATTTCTAGGTTTTCCTGGCTATCTTGTTCGCTTGCTACCTGTTCATCCCAACTCTGTTTGGGCAAGGTGTTCTGTTGTGCTTCCGTCTGGGTGTATTCTCTTGTTTGATGAGTGGGTGGATCTTCTTGGTCTGGAAGTGTTTGGGTTCGAAGCTGTTTGGTTTCAGTTCGGGTTGTGGGAGTTTGTGGTCGTTTTGTTTGAGTGTTGGGTTTCTTTGCGTACGGTTGAGTTCTGAGCGGGGTTGCTTCTTTGACTGTCCTTCTTTCGTATCTTAGGGTTCTGTCTGTCTGTCTGCTAGGAACTTTACTGTTCCCTGGTTTGCTTGCCATCTTTCTTGTTCGGGTTGGTTGCTGCGCCACACGTGAACGATATACAAGGCACTTAATACAATTTCAGAATTAATTCTTAATGTATCCTTCTTCCATTCAAAAAATAATCAATGAACAATATACCAGAATCACTTATCTTAGAAAACATAGTATACAATAATAGCAATACACAATGTAATAAGATAGTCAAAAACTTATAAAGACAAAATCCATCAAACTTCATCTCCCATTTAAATAATCATATACTGGAAAACAACTTTAACAACAATAATACAATTATAAATACTGAAAAAGATACTTAACATCTGATATGGCAAACCACAACTGTTAATATTCAAAACCTAACAAACAAACACAAAAGAGAGATCTGGTTCAACTAATGGGTAACAAAGGACTGGGACATTATCATAACAATTGAGACTAATAGTACTTACCAACAATCAAAATATTGGAAATATCTATCCTATTATATAATTTGATTATATAATTATGAACAAATGATAGGACAAGACCTAAACCTAATAATTAAAAAAGACATAGCAGACTACATTTACAAATACAGCACTTGAAAGGGAAAATTAATATATGCAGATCTCATATTTTCCAAAAAACAGAAACTTAGAATTACTTTTATGTAGATAAGAAAGACAAAGAACAGCAAGATACTTTCAATAAACTAAAGTAATAAATACGAGAAGCACTTCAAAAAATTAACATTTCCTGATTTTAGGAGATTTAAATAGAGTCTCTAATCCAGCTTTGGATAAAAACAATAGGTATAAACAAAGTATATCCAACAAACCAATAGATTCTCAAATAGAAACACTGATAGACTACAATCTAGAGGATATACAGTATATAGGCTTTATAACCTAAGCAAAAGAGAATATACCTGGAGCCAAAATAATAGCAATAATAGGATTGACCAAATTTGGATAAATATACTTCTATTATGACAAAGTAGGAAAGTCTATATTGAAGAAGATCTGGATTTATTGATCTCTAATGATCACAAATCCACTATCACTGAAATATAAATATAGCAATTGAACTCACACAAGGAGACCTCCTATTATTAGCCAAATTATAGATACAATTGACAGCTAGCAAATAATGAACAATGGAAAAAAATTTCTCTGAAAGTTGACAGAGCCTTAAGCAATCAAAGCCCAAAATTAAAATCAATAGATAAACAATGGAACATCATATGCAGTCATATTCTCAAAGCAGCTAAGCTTTATATTCCAAAAAGAAAACAACATAGAAGAAAAAAATACTACGTGAGAAAAACACAATCAAAGATTTATTACTATAGATACAATTATTTTACAACAAACTGAAAGCTACTTAGAAAGCAAATAAGTTATTTCCCACACTATCAAAACAACTTTAGAGAAAGCTTTCAGACATTCAACAACACTTAACCAAGCTAAAGATTGAGCCCCCACACAACTTCTTATAGTATTGACTACACTATATTCAAAAAATTATTCGAGAACATAAAGTCATTGCTTAGGCAATTACTTATAGAAAGCAAGCTTTTATAATCAAACAAAGAATTTTAAATAGACAAATATATTTTGTAACAAACAAAAAAGTGATGATCAATAGTATTAGTGAAAAACCTATGAGAAACATTATCCTGGACAAGATTATTACAGAAGATGAGAAAGTATCAATTATAATCAATTCTAAAGTAATTAAAAACAGGATTAAATAATACTTCCAGGATTGAACTTCAGCCAAGAACATCAGGTCAATCACCAACTTTCCCTTTTGGGCTGCAGAATATGAATAAAAAAGAATATTAATTCCAGGTGGTATAACTTAGTACTTTCTAAAATATTTACTAAGAAAATCAAAAAAGCAATCCAAAGCAGAAGTGCAAAATCAGCTCTTGAAAGAAATCAGATTCTATATATGGCTTACAAAAAATTAGGGGCAAAGGCAATAGAAGAAATCTATTTACTCTTCAATAGAATTTTTAGAGAAGGTGATACCCAAAAGAATGGAGCAAAAGAGTTATCTATACAATACCAAAACCAAAAGTTTAGCAAAATAATCTAGATATTATATAACCGATCACCCTATTGGACATAGAAAGGAAAATTTTTACAAAAATCATTATAGACAGACTAGCACACTGTATAGGCGACCACAAAATCCTCTCAGAATTAAATTGGGCAACACTTCTCAGTTACAGCACATAGAATCAATTCACATCATAAATAATATCATCAAACATGCAAAAGATATAAACAAATATGATTGGATCCTAAGTCAAAATATGTTCAATATATATGATTCAGTCAACCTTGAAATACTAACCCTAGTACTTAAATATATCAAGATTTCTTCACAAATTATCAATATCTCTTAAATATACTTAACCAAAGACAAAACATAGTTTTGATATATCACAGACCCATAGCAGAATATGGAGTTAAAAATGGTATTAACTAAGGAGATACAATATACCCCTTTCTCAAGTATATTTTCTATTGCTCTCTTATAACCAGAATTGACAAAGACTTTATAGGTTATACAATCTTAACAAAAATATATAGAAACTTCCAAAAAGATTGATTAACAAAAAAGGTTAATATTGCAGTCAGTGTCTACGTGTATGACATCACCTGGATCACAGATAATGTAGAGAACATAAGGGAAATTAACAAAGTAGCAGAGGAATTTTATCACATCAATGATATCAAAATCAATCTACAAAAAGCACAACTAATCATTATCAATGGAAAAGAGGATAACTTCAAGCAAGAAATAGCAATAGATAATCAAACTATCCTGTATTGTTCCAAAGGAACCACAGTTAAAATTCTAGAAGTATAACATAACAGTTCAGAAAAGAAAGACTATCAGAAAACTCTAATTCAACAAAATTCAGGAAGACCAAAGTACTAATAAGAATAAAAAACCTTACTGATAAACAAATGCAATATATTATAAATTATGTCCTAATTCCTAGTGCTGAATACCTATGCAATGATATGATTCTATATGAAAAATCATACAATCTCCTCATGAGTAACATCATATCAATCTTTAAACATAAACTAGATCTAGCCAGAATGACTTTCAATAATATCCTCTATAATAAATATAAATATAATATAATACACCTGTAGAACAGACAACTTCTATTTCATGTCATAAACTGAACTAATAAAATTAATAAAGCCAACAGAGCAGGGAAAATAACAAGAATAAGGTTACAGACACTGCAAAATGAATTTTGGTTAACCCAGCCCATCTTAAACAAGATAGAAAGTCCTCTAAAGAAGTTAGGCAACAACCTTATAAATGATATTATATGGCTCTTAAGAAGACATAGCTTTATAGCATATCTACTACAAGAAACTAATAGTCTGACTCTAATAAAAGAAATAGATACTTCAATATAAGACATAATAAGCAAAATATTTTTTGCTAAACATCAGAAAAATCTAAAAAAGCACAACTTCTTATTTACAGGTCAACTCCTAAATGCAGACTGCTAAAATAGTGTCAAACTATTCGAATAAATAAAAAATCAGTTCCAGGTCCAATCCTGAGGTAGTTCACTACTATATAGAATAAACTCAAAATGATACTGAAAACTAAATATCAAACAAATGCTGATACAACAAAAAATATCTTTATATAAGACATATCTATCACTGATCTCCCCTCCTTTAGGCCCCATTGGATATTCACAATGAAAGAAGGCAACTCAACTATTGGGAAAAGATAACAGAAAATAGATAAAAATATCACTAAATACAGCACTACACCAGAATCCAGAAAGCTTCCCACTAGAGGCTTGCGAAGAATGCACAATTAACAGTACAGAAAATTAAACTAAAGAATGTAGTTTCACAGCTACCAAACAATAATTTATTACAATACTAGTCTATAAAAGCAAGTCCTCAATAAGGCAAAGCAGTTATATATAGAGAGAAACAATCTGGAGAAACAGGGTTTCTCCAAACTCCCTTTTTATTATACTTTCAAAACATACACAAGCTTTTCCATCTCAACAAGAAGCAAATATTGAAATTCAACTATCAAATAGTTCACAATTACATCTCAAACATATAAAAAAATTGCTTAGAGGCCACACAAAAAGCCTGGTATCACTAGCATCAATCAGAAGAAAACTAAGAAACTACACTATTTTTGAAATATATATTGATGATTCCATTAATAACTTTCATGGAAAATATTATATGGGATTGGACTGGATTATTTTTTTCCCAAACCAAGAGAAACACACTTTTCAAGGACAAATAATAATACATTTATCATCCACCAGAGCAGAAATTACAGCAATACTTATGACATTAAGTGTTTTACCTGAACATTCTTCAGCAGCTCTATATACTGATAACTAGGCAGCAATTAATAATATTCTCAAGACCAAAAAAAAAAGCCTAAAAAAATTATCAAAACACAAAAAAATTCAAACTTTCTTCTCCAAATAGTGGGTTTGTGTAAACAAAACTAAATAAAACTATTTTTACACAAGATAAAAGGCTATTCAGGAATTGAACAAAATAAACAAGCAGATTATTTGGTATAGATCAATAGATAGAAAGGAATGAAATCTGATAAGAAAGTGATTGAGGTATTAAGATCACAACACAAATCCCAAGAGATAACAGCACAATTGAACAATGTCACCACAGAAATTCCCATAAAACTAATTATAAAAAAACTTACCCAGACAATTCACTTGGCAAAATGGAGACTCCTTAATCAAACAATATACAATTATAGTGAAAGAATAGTAAAGAAAATAGATTAACAAATAATTACCACACTATTCCAACCAACTAAAATAAGTGACCATTATACTGACTAGAAAAACCAAAAGCTTAGAAAATTCTATCTCAATATCTGAAATAATGAACTGCCAACCAAAAGCAAACTTCACACTAGAATCCAATCTATATTCAAGAACAACAAATGCCCAAGATGCAACAAACCAGAAACCAGTATACACCTTTTCATCTGCAATCAACTCA